GAGCAGCAAATGTCCCTGAGCAGGAACATTCTGATCCTCGAGTCGAACGGAAAATTGGTGCTCAAAACGCTCAGTTGCGGCTGAATCCTAATGCACAGGAGTTTACGAGTTGGTCAGTAGGTCCCACTGTACCCGTTGCGCATCCAGGAGCCACTAATCCTACCTTGCCTGGAGGAATTATGGGTAAGATGGCATTAACCATAAAACAGGGATTTGCATTGCCGAAAAAGGAATTGACTGTGTTCGATGGTGATCCTCTCAAGTATTGGAACTTTATCAAATCATTTGAAAATAGCATCGTGAGCAATGAGGCCGGTGAAAGTGAAAAACTCATGTATTTCCTTCAGTATACATCTGGAGTGGCTAAGGACACGATCAAGTGTTGTTTAGTCATGGATTCATCCCAGGGATGCCGAAAGGTGAGAGAGCTGCTGGAAGAACGATTTGGACACCCCTTCACAATTGCCTCGAAATACATAGCCAAGTTAACAGAAGGACCACCGCTTAAACCATGGGATTGCGCAGGACTACTTGCATTTGCGGACAGATTGAAAGACTGTGAACACACTTTGGAATCCATTGGATATCTGGAGGAGATTAACAGTGCAGACAACTTAAGAAGAATTGTCCAGAGACTGCCGTTCCATCTCTGTACCAAGTTTGTGGAACTAGCGCACCAAATTCAGCAAGCTGGTCAAAGAACGAATATCAGCCATATCGCCAAGTTTGTCAAAGTCAAGGCGAGAGCTGCCAATAGCCCAGTGTTTGGTTGCGTGGTAGACGTTGCACATGACAGATCAGAGAATCAGAGGTGAAAACCAAAGGGTGGTGCATCATCTGAAGAACATTTGAGCACATTCAATACACGAGAGATTAAGCCTGGTGTCGGGCAGAGTTTGTCTTCCAATAAATTCACTCCAACCCTGAGGTGCCCATCGCGCAACCAAAATCATTCCTTGGCAAAATGCAGTAGTTTCAAAGACAAGAACTTCGACGAACATCTACAAGTGATGAGGAAAGCTCAGCTATGCTTTAATTGCTTCAAGTATGGCCACATCAGTGTAGG